GATTTATTAGGTACACTAAAAATCTAATAGAGGTAGGTGAATGACTAAGATAAGATATGTTATTCCTTTTATACTAAAGGCATTATCACATTACACTTTGATGAATGTCTACTCAAGAAATATGTGGCCACGATACGAGTTCACCAACGGAGCATAGTTGGTTTACTCTAAGAGCTAAGACATTTGAAAAATGAAGAAACCTTATTTGATCGTAATCGAATAGGACTAATAACCAAGTTCGAGATCACACGGCGATAAGTTGATATTATAACTAAATTGTATAGTAACCATGCTCATGAAAGATAATTGGGGATTAATTAATCCTCCTAAAGAATTAGATAGTCATGATGCCTTCCTAAAGGCCAATCTTGACTTACATATTAAGAGATAAAAAAAGTATCTTTTATTCTTGATCCATTGCCAACATATCTATAGGCCTATTGAGTCAAACGATAAGTTTAAGCATTCATATGATTAAAAAGAAGCGAAGATGTTGGAAAAATTTTTTAATTATGAAAGTTTTCTATTTTGGAAAAATTTTTCGAAAATGAAAAGTTTCCTAAAATGGAAAGTTTCCTATTCTAGAAATTAATTTCCTAATTTGAAAGTTAGATCCAAATTTGGAAGTAAATAACCAAAAAGGAAATGAGTTTCCTAATTTAGGTTTAAGGGTATTTTAAGAAATTATTTCCTAATGTGGGCTACCTAAAATTATTTAACTTAATTTATTTAGATAGTCTAAATTAATTAATTGGGCCAAAATAGTTTTAGGCCAATAGATTTAATGAAAAGCTTAAAAGATATTTTAGTGGGAGGATAAACATGAATCTTATTGGATAAGGATGAATGTTTTATGGATAAAGATCAAATGCCCACATGTTAAATAACTCATAATCCTTAAAGGATTCGAAACAATAATCAAGAGTTCAATAATGACTAGTTGTCGTGCCCTCTCTTTGTCCTTGGAGGACAAGGAAACTCTCCCCTATAAATAGGAGGAGAGCTACAAGAAAAAAAGGTAAATTTTAAGGGAGAGAAAACTCGACACAATAAAAAAAATTAGCTAAAGGTATATGGCTTAAAAAGGAAAAATACGAGAGAAAAGCTGTTTCCTCCCTAGCCCTAGCATGCCACGCTTTCCTCTCTCTCTCTCTCTCTCTTTGGGTTGTCATAAATATTACCCTAATTATATTTTTATAGGAAAAACTAAATATGTCAAAAAATTTGGAGCTAGCACTCTACCAATTTTGAGTGCTTCTTTTATGGGTGCTTAGATTACGTGGACTATCGATAGAGGCTGGACACTTAGACGACTCTTTTTGTGAAGGTTTAGATCCACTCTACAAGAGATAATTCTTTATTCATCACTTTAATTCATGAATATATGGTTAGTTGATTAAAATACATGATATTGGGCTCTTTAGATGGAATAAAATTTTGTTTCATTCTGTACCTTCATAGGATGCATGATCCTTCACTTAGGGATTCCACTCATTGCCAAAGAATTCTTCTTCCCTCAAGAAGTCCATTCCTCTTTAGAGATTCCACCTCCAAAAATCCATTCTAATGGTTCAAAAAAAAAAAAAACAAAACAAAAGTACAAACAACAAATTCGAATCTAGTTTAAGAGTTTTAGAGAAATAAAAAATACGGACAATAGATTTGGATCTAGTTTGAGAGTTCTCAAGAAATAAAAATATAGACAATAGATTCAAATCCAGTCGATAATTCTAAATGAATAAAAACACAAACACATATATAAACCTAAAGTCTAAGGATTTCAAGCAAACAAGAACAAACATAAGTACGTTCTTTTAAACATCTCCTTCTTATATCGGGATATACAACTACGTTCTTCTAAAGAACTTATGATGTTATTCTTTCAAAAATCTCTATTACTCCGGGAATACATTCCTCCACAAACCGATAACCACAATATCTACAAATCTCTAATTTGCCCAAATTACATCATATTAGAATGTCAACATGTCTCAAGCCGAGTAATCCTCGTTTTCAAGCATGTGAGGCGGCTAATTAGGTATGAATTTGGGCTCCCCTATAAAGCCCATCAAAACTAGGTCTTCTTACTCTTTATTATGGCTTCATAGCCACCTAGCCCAACACACTAAAAGTATGCCTTATATCATATATCTTTTTTACTATACAAAAGGACTTACACTCTCATTAAACACAAGTTCAAGAACTTTAATACACACATAATTCTAGATAGCTTTAGCTCTTTATCTCTCTAGTATCTCGTATCTATATAGCATATCTCAAAAGTACTAACTTAACCATTAGAGTGGCTTTGTCGGTATCTATCGGATACCATTAACACTAATGGTTGTGCTCCATGTGACACTAGAGTGTGCTCGAGGATACTCGACTAGGCCAAAAATTCACTTACAACTAGACCAAGAGTTTGTTTTTCAAGATGGGACGAATTTAGGTCACTTTTTTATTTTTACCTTAATTCTTTTAGGTCAATTAATTTAAATCAAGGTTTGATTGGACAAAGGTTTCCTATTACGTTTAAATTCTTTATTTAACTTAGATTAGATAAATTAGTCCCTATTAAGTATGAATGAGATTTTAGTTTTCTAGTAAAACGAGACTAAATTTTTTATAGTTCATATTGAACAAATTTTACGTAGTCATTGGTCAATATAATGAGGGATGTTTATCCTTAATTTAGTGATTGAATACTAGTATAAATAAGGACTTTATACTTGTAAAGAAACATGTTTTGATGATTAATAAATTCTTGAGAAGGTTCTCTAAACACTTAAATCCTTATACATTGTTTAAAGTACGTTCTATATCATTGACTTGATCAACCAAATTAGTGTTATCGATCAAGCAACTAACCAAATGTGTTATGGAGTTTTTAAACTTGTCAAAATCATCTTAAGTTAAATCACTTAACTAAATTGTGGAGTTTCAACCAACTTTGACAAAATCAATCAAATTTAGGGTTTCCATCTACTTGAATAGTTTAGCAATTGGGATTGAAATTTTTGTATCATACATTAAATTAAGGAAAATGATTTCGATTCTTAGTCTTTTAAAAGACTAAAATTCGATAGCCATAAACAATTATCTTGGAGTATTTATTTTAGTGTAAGTTATCTAAAAAATAATGTCACCATGCTCACAAAACTTCAAAGGATAACACCATTATTATTTTTTAACCCCCTCAAGAAGATTGAATATCAAGTGTAATAAAAATAAATACTAAAAACTCACGTCTCATTATATTATATTAACATATTATAATTAATGACATAGTTATTCACTTTATTGTTATTTTTTTCTTACAATGCTTATATGTGTGTGTGTGTGGAAGTTTATAGGAATGATAATTGAGATTTGCGATATTCTTTTGTATGACAAAAAAAAGGTTTCAATATTGAAAAATAACACAATCAAGTGAAACATAACTACTCATCACTTTCAAAGAAGGAACTATATTGTATGGAAAAATATACAAAAAGCTTCCATTAGCACTCTCTCTCTCTCTCTCTCAAGGGAAATTAGTATTGTTGGGTCATTCCTATATAAAATTAGGCTCTAGCATTGAAAATATAGGTTTACCCTATAATTGGTCTTTATACGAGTTCTATTTTTTTTATTGAAACCCTCTATTATTTTTTAACTTGATTGAAATCTCATACTCTTATAAATTTTTTGATTGAGACTTTCTGCTATAATACTATTAACTATTCATCTCCCGTGTCAATCGGGAATTGACACGTGAAAATGTGGATCAAAAAAATTTATCAAATGTCATTGTACGATTGGCTACCATTAGTTTTAACTTGCCACGTATGATGAATAATTAATGGCATTATAAAGAAGGGTTTTAATCAACAAATTTGTAAGAATAGAAAGTTTTAATCAAGCTGGAAAAAAATAGAAGGTTTCAATTAAAAAATTAAAGCTGTATAGAAACCAATTATGAGGTAAGCCCTTGAAAATATATTATTAAAAATTCATAAAAACTTTACTCATCTGACTTCAATGGTGTTAGTAACCAGCAAAAGCATATATCTTCATAACGATGATGCCTATTCTTTATCCATAGTCATAAAAGAAAAGAGAGGGAAAAAGAAGAAGAAAAGAAATATAAATAAGAGTATCGGAGATATTTCTATATTGCAAGGATCATTGTAGATGGGAGGAGTGTCTCAGGCACGTAATTTTAGAATTAGTTATTTGAATTGTAAAATTTGTTTAATTGTTGATTTGTCATAATATTTTTATTTAATCAGACAAGTATTATTAGAAAATTAATGCTTTCATTTATTTTTATTTTTAAACACTAAAGGTTTTCTTATTAGTAAATTATACCAAATCACATCAATGTTATATGCTATCATTTTGGATTCAAATATAATATAGTGCGTTGTGATTAGCTTAAATATGAATGATGTATGTAGCACCATAAAAGAAAGGATGAAAATGCCATCGCAAGAAACTCCAATTTAGCTCATTCCTATTTGTGTCCATTCTGTTGATCTTTTCTTATGGAAAACAAATTATCAAATTTATCTTATGTTCGCCTAATAACACTAAACTGTGAAGGAAATGTGATGAATATATATATATATATATATATATATATATATGAGTAAATAGGATGAAATCTATGGATAGAGGCTAAATTGGTGGATTTGATTTTCCATAATATGACCAAAGAAAAGAAGACTTCCAATTTTAAAGGCGCGAGTAATAAGGGTTTATGCTTAAACCACTCCCATCAATACAAAACGCAGCCTCTCTCTTGCTTTCTCTGCTAAAACCTCTCCTAACCTCTCTTTCTCTACCTCTAAAACCAAAACACCACAAAACCCTTCTCTTCTTTTTTCCCTTTTTGGCTTCTCTTTTTTCCCTTTTTTTGTTTCTTTTTATTTTTTCCTTTCTGGCCTTTCTTTTGGCGGGTTGTCGTAGAAAGTTAGATTCTTCAGAAATTTTGCTGAGTAGTGAGTGTTTCTTGATTTATGGCTTCAAGAAGATTACTTAAAGATTTTTTGCTCAAAAGGGTTATTTCAAGTCCTGTTAGTGGTGTCAGACATTGCTCTTCTTCTTCATCATCAAAAACTGCTCCTAAAATTCCTCACTTCTCGAAGAAGGTAACTTTTTTTTTTTTTTTTTTTTTTTTACATTTCTGATGATAATATGAGAGATTGGCTTGATAGAAAAAATGGGTTCCTTTTGGATTGTTTTTGTGTTTTGGGTCGTATTAAGTTTTTTATGAATTGGGTTTGGCTCAGCTGAGCTTTTGGTTTTTAGTTTCATTGGGTTTTAATTGATATATTTGTGAATGTAGATTTTCTTAGGGGCCAAGTAGAGTTTTTGTTTTGAGATTGGAGTTTCATTTTTTGTATTTTGCTATGGTTGAATGAGCCAAAGCAGGAGGCCTTTTAGCTGTTAATTTACCACTTCAAAATAGAATTTTTTGTTGCTTGAAAGCTAGTTGAGAAATGGTTATGCTGGAGTGACTGGAGTGTGAATTTTCGAGGAGAAAGTGTCGTTGACGCACCCATTTCTTGTGATTTTATTAAATGTTTGTCCATTGAATGAATCAATGAGTATCATTGAGTTTATTTTTCCTGCATAGTTAATTGCGTAAACCTATTACTCTCAGATTTCTTTTGCCACAATGCCATTTTTGTTGATTCACAAGTCTCTTAATGTGCTGCTTTAGCACGTTGTAACAAAGCTTTAGTGTGACTTTTGGCTTTTTCTTTTTTCCTGATGTCATGCATATTGCACAATTGTCCTATTGAGCTCCAGTGTACTTTTGAAGAATAGAAATGTTCCCGTCCAATTCCAATGTTTAAATCTCTGGTTATTTTCCACTATAGGGGAGGTTATTAACAGGAGCAACCATAGGACTGGTTATTGCTGGAGGAGCGTATGTTAGTACAGTGGATGAAGCAACTTTCTGGTACTTCATTCGAACATCTGATAAGACATTTTCTTAATCCACTTTTGAACTTGTTACATGCATATAGGCACACTGATTTGAGGGTACTGATTTATATATGAATGTGCCATGAACAAGAATTTAAACAAGAATGACTGCTTGGTATGCTGAAAGAATTTGGATATCTTTCATGATAGACTCTGATAATTAATCCTTTATAGTCTTAAAGATTTTATAGCATTGATAAATTTACATACCTAGACAATCTCATGAATAATTTATGGTATGAGTTCAATTTGAATTTACCTTGAATACTTGTATTTTATTTTTAGGATGTAAACTTATTCTATGTAGAATTTTATTGCAGTGGTTGGCTATTCAATGCAACAAAACTCGTGAATCCATTTTTTGCCCTTTTAGATGCTGAGTTTGCTCATAGGCTTGCTGTATCAGCTGCTGCTCACGGTTGGGTTCCAAGGGAGAAGAGGCCTGATCCATCAATTTTAGGACTGGAAGTTTGGGGTAGGAAGTTCTCCAACCCTATAGGTCTAGCTGCTGGCTTTGATAAAAATGCTGAGGCTGTTGACGGCTTGCTTGGGTTAGGTTTTGGCTTTGTAGAGGTTGGCTCTGTTACCCCTGTTCCACAAGAGGGAAATCCAAAGCCACGAATCTTCAGATTGCGTCAGGAAGGGTGAGAATACTGTTTTTTTTCCCTGCTTATCTAGTGGTGGTAGTGGACGGTCCTTGGATTAGTGAATTTGATTCTTTGGTGCTTGAACATGTGAAAGACACCAATGATTGTACATTGGTTTCAAGAGAAGTGTTTCAGCACTGATTTATATGATTGCTTTGTGTTTGTGTCAGTGCAATTATCAATCGCTGTGGATTTAATAGTGAAGGCATTGTAGCTGTTGCAAAACGATTGGGTGCACAACATGGAAAAAGAAAGTTGGATGAAACTTCAAGCACTTCATCTACCTCTAACGGCGATGTCAAACATGGAGGCAAAGCTGGTCCTGGCATTCTCGGGGTCAATCTAGGAAAGAACAAGACAAGTGAAGATGCTGCTGCAGATTATGTACAGGGGGTTCATACGTTGTCCCAATATTCTGATTACTTGGTAGAACTTTCGTTCTGTATCTGTTTTTCTTTTTGTTCTCTCTTCTGTTTTATGAAAGCTTCTGTTTCTTATAAATGTGATTGGCACAATTTACTAGGGTGATCTATTGGCACTCCATCATCTAGCTTCAGCACTGTGCTTGATGACACTTGTATGCATGTTGTGAAAATGAAAGATGGAGTGCCAATAGTTTGGCTCTTTTACATAGCCAAATACATGACAGACTAAGAGGAAATGAGTTCTGTTTAATATGATTTGAAAATATGTTCTTTTGTCTTGCATAGGTTATTAACGTGTCATCACCCAATACTCCTGGATTGCGTATGCTTCAGGGAAGAAAGCAATTAAAGGACGTCGTTAAGAAGGTATGGATGCTTACGCCTTACTTACACGTCTTCAAATTGTATTATGATGAGTTAACTTTGTTTTTTTCACTTTTGTTTTAGGTCCAAGCTGCTCGTGATGAAATGCAATGGGGTGAGGAGGGTCCTCCTCCTATGCTAGTGAAGATTGCTCCTGACTTGTCCAAAGAAGACCTTGAAGACATTGCAGCAGTGCGTAACTGCTCTTATTTTCATATCTGTTATCCACTTCCACATGCAGCACTCTTATAGTTCCTTATTTGTGATTTCTTGTAGGTTGCTCTTGCACTCCGCTTGGATGGACTGGTATGTTTTCTTCCCATCAAGAACTCCATCTGCTTTTACTGTTAGCTGGACATTCATGTTTTTGTGTTCAGAACTTTAGTTACTTTTCAGATGAATGAAGCTTTCTAATTAATTTTTTGAAATATGTTTATGAACCTGGTTACAAGTATGGTGGATAGAGTAATCCATGTATTACTTCCATGAAATAGTAATACTAGGTTCCAATTGTTTTAATTTTCTTAAATGTTTGTGGACATCACATGTGGGGTCCTTGGTATTAGCAATATCCTTGGCTACACCCATCTATCATGTGGTATTAGATTCAATCACATTAGGATATCCATATTGAAAATTTCTCATACCAAAAACTAAACTATCTATCTACCTATGGTTGCAAGTGCACCCCAATGACGAATATAATATAATGGCTTGCTAGTTGTACATTATTTTTATCTCATTCTTGGCTTAAATGATTAGAGTAAATTAAAAATATAGTTTTTACTAATATTATCTCTGGAAACTCCAATCAATCTTACTTTGGTTTTTCTAGTGAAGAAGATGATATTTTCATGCATCCTATAATAGCAATATCTATATATATGTATATATAGAGAGAGAGAGGGAGAGGACATTACATCCACAACAGTCATGCCTTCTCTAATCGATGCTGATTTTTGCTTCTTTTGCTCATGGGCTAGATTATATCAAACACAACCATATCAAGGCCGGATTCTGTAAAGAGATACCCAGTGGCTGAGGAAACTGGTGGCTTGAGTGGGAAACCTCTCCTCAATTTGTCTACCAATATCTTAAAAGAGATGTATATTTTGACAAGGGTATGTTGTCTGTTCTTATGGTAATTAAATTAAATTCCTATGCATCCTTGACTTTCAATTGATAATGGACTGACCATTTTGTGGTCAAGGTCACTAGAGAAAGTCAGTGCATGCACTGTGAAGAAATTCCATTACTCCTGATTGTTGTGCTGGCAACTGGCAAGTTCCAACAATAGTAGTTCTCAAAAATAAAAAAGAAAAAGAGAAAAAGAAAACAAAAAGTTTCAATAGTAAATGAATCTTTTCGAAGTTCTAAGTTACTTCCTATTTGTATTGTATCATAATCACCAAATAATCCAGCTCATTTTCTTCCTTTTTAATAGACAATCCTCTACAGATGCTCTAATTTACCCCATGTTCTGATGCTTCTTTGTACATGACTGCATGAATGCTTTCTCCTTTTGTTTCATATTATCCAGTAAAATCCTTTCTAATTCTGCTGTCTATTATAGAACTTTTGGATTTTCTTATGTAAAGCCACTTTATAATCTTTCCCCTTTTTAATTTAAAAACATGGTTATATTATCCATAAAACATGCAATCCTATACTGTTTGGCTTGAATTCTGTAATAGTTTTTTTTTTTTTCCTTCCCTGTTAGTTCATATTTTCATGATTTATTTACTGAGCATGCATATTTTGTCTCATTCCAGGGGAAGATTCCTTTGATAGGCTGTGGGGGTGTTTTTAGGTAAAATCTAAAGAATGCATCTCCATTAGTGTTATTAACTTGATGACTGATTCATGAGTCATTATCTGAACTTCAATTGCTTGCTGTTAATTCAGTGGTGAGGATGCATACAAAAAAATACGAGCTGGAGCAACTCTTGTTCAGCTTTATACAGGATTTGCCTATGGGGGACCTGCCCTAATTCCTCGAATAAAGGTAACATAGCAATGTGTTTCTGCATTTTGGGACCTGAAGAGCGACATCAGAAAATAAACGTGATATGACATTAAATTGTGTTCTATTTTAGAGAGACAGAAAAAAAAAAAAAGTGCATGTTTTTGTTGTTTTTCTATGGGATTTGGAATGATTTTCGTGTACAGCTTAAGCTCGTAGTAAAGCTTCCTTTTGGAAGTGTGTTACATTTTAAAAGAAGAATTCACATGGAATGTCGAATGATTAATGAAGCAGAAATATAGGATTAATGAGAACATTGGAAATTGTTATGATTGTTTTCAAATATAATAATGTACAACCTTGCCTTCTTATAGGCTGAGCTGGCCGAGTGCTTAGAAAGGGATGGTTTCAAGTCCATTCTGGAGGCAGTTGGTGCAGATTACAGATAGTGTATCCAAGTCTTGGAAGAACGAGAGAAAAGACTGTCTCAGCATGCAAGGGAATACACCATAACAGAACCAAATAGAAAGAAAGAACAGAAAACATATGGAGAGCTTTATTTATTTCGTTTGTTGGCAATATTTACACGATTCACTGGTCACTACAGTTTTGTTTTGTCTCAGCTCTCCACTGCAAAATCTTCAGTTTCTTTTACCCTTTTTTCTGATCTCGTTTTTTTTTTTTTTTTTTTTTTTTTTTTTTTTTTTTTTTGGCAATATGAGAACGAATTTGGCGTGAAAGATAGAAACTCTGGGAAAAGTGTTACTACTTTTGCCACTGTACAGAGAAATTTTACTGCCTGTGTAAGGAGGCTCCCCCACCCCACACCCCCCCCCCCACTTTATTTTTTTCCTAATGAAGCAATTTGGACTTCACACATAAGATGGACTAGCCCACTGACAATAAGCCCAATACACTTTTCAATATGCAAGATCAAATTAAGATGCTTATTTTTTGATTTAATGTCAAGTTTTTAAATGTTGAGATTAAGTTTCTTTCAATCAAGTTTTATGGAGGTTATAATGCAAACTTACCTGTTAATTAGCCTAAATCTCAAGCAAAAATTATGCTATTTATGTGAAACACCAAATAAATACAGTATTACGACCGCTTTCAATGAATATATTTTTTTTTTGGTGGTGAGAAACCTACCAACTTTGCATATGTTTTTGTTACAAATTCTAAATTGCATAAAATCAAACTTAATTAAAAAAAAATAATAATAATCAAGCTTTATAATCTTGAATTTCTGATATATCATTCTGTTAATAAATCTGTTAAAATCAAATGTTTTAGAATTAATTATAACCCAACCCTTTATACCTGGGGAAAAAAAAACTCATATATTAGTCCTTATGGCGTAAAAAATTAGATATTGTTGAAAATAATGATTATGGCTGAAAAATTATTATAATGATAGTAAAAGGTTTGGCGAGAAAGATAATAGAAATATAATTTCATTATGAAATAAAGATAATATAAGTGATAACAACTCTAAAACAACTTTTTCATTCTCTACAAAAAAACACTTCAACCAAAACTAGTGAACAAGTCAAACCCATTCATAGGGTTTAAGAGTATGAAAAGAATTGGAAGGAACTATGAATAATTAAAAGGTGCATAAATGATTGAATTTAACTAAAACTAATGAACAATCAAACCTACTTATAGACTTCAAAATTAGGAAAAGAATTAGAAGGAACTATGAACAAGTAAAAAAATGCATAAATGATTGATCAATTGCATCACATTTTTAATTTTTTTATATTAAATGGTGAATTGAATCATATTAAGAATTATGAGTAGTAAGAATATGAAAATAATATGAACATTCATATGGACATTTATTATTTCATAACAATCCTCTTTGAATATCCATTGTATAAAAAAAAAAAATGTCTTCATTAAAACCTTACTTGAAAAAACATAATGGAAAAAAAAATCTTGGTGAAGGAAAAAATATATTATATTTCTTATACACATTAATTCTTATGTTGGACTCCCTGTTGAAATTATTTATCTAAGATCTTTAAACTAATGTATCTCAATCTTCCGAATCAAAAGTTGTGGTAGGTAATGTCATAGTGATCAAATTTACACTTGATCGAATTTATTGAATATTAATATCACCATTTTGTTAAAGATCATATGTAAAAAATAATTTTGATGATATATGTTCCTTTTTGTCACCTTTGATATATCATTTCTTTGATTGAGTTATGCAAGCAACATTATCTTCATATAATAGTTTTAAAACTTCCTTACTAATAGATAAACCGAATGTCTCTCGGATATGATGAGTCATTGATCTTAGTCAAATATATTTTCGACTTACCTTATGAATTGCTAGTACTTTTGCATAGTTTGAAGATGCAACAACTATAGTTTATTTCATAGAACGCTATAATATAACTGTATCATCATTTATAAATACATAACCAGTTTGTAATCAAGTTTTATATAAATCACATAAATAACCCGTTGCATAGCTAATTAAACATGATTTTGATTTATTTTAGTAAAATAAATACCATATTAATTTTTTCTTAGAGATAGTGTAGTATATACTTAATTTTATTCCAATATCTTTGTATTGGAGTAGAACCGTATCTTGTTAATAAATTTACGAAAAAACTATATCAAGTCAAATATTGTTGGCAAATATGAACGCACTAGCCGCACTAAGATATGGTACTTCGAGACCAAATAATTCTTCGTTATCTTCTCGAGGCCGAAAGGATCCTTTTAAATATCAAGTGAAAGAACTACTATTGAGCTATTAATGAATGAGCTTTATCCATATAGAACCGATGTAAAACTTTTTCCGTGTAAGTTAATTGATGAATAAAAATCACACCCTCTTAGTGTTCGAACTACAAGCCGACATAAAATTTTATTTTTTTGAGATCTTCATATCAAATTCCCCTTTTAAATAACCTATGGCACTTGGAATCTTTTCAAAAGATTAAATCATCAATATTTACGACAATTATCACAAACCCATTATTGGATTTCTTTATAAAAACACATGAAATAGTCATTTTTATAACTTTCTTTCAATAAATATTCACTAACATGAATATACTACATGTGCCCAGATTAGTAATGAAGAGTGGATATTCATAAATAAAAAATAAATACAAAAGCTTAAATTGAATTTTTGAAAACTAAAACAATAAAAAATACTAAAATAATCCTTATAGAAATCTTTATAATTTAATTGAATATAGTTTTCAAAAATGTGTATTACATGCTTTATGAATCTTAAGTTATTTTAGAACTTTCATTTAGATATCATTTTCAAGTGAATAAATAAGTTGTGATCACATCTCGTCATAACTCATTTTTGACCTCCCAATAATTTTTATTTTTATACAAAATTCAAAAATTATATGTTGCATAGTTTTTTTGTTATTTTTTTTCATGATTTTTAGGTATTTTTATTGTTTCTATTTCTTAGGACTATTATATAACTTTAATTAAATAAAAAAAAAGATAAAGAAAGAAAGAAAGAAGAAAGTAGAATTAACAAAGATAAATGAATAATAATTTCAGGTCTAATTAGAAAGGATTTGAGAAATTATGACAAAAATAAATCCAACCGGAAGTATAATTGAAAGGGTTTAAAACTTGAGAGCCTTAATTGAAGATAAAAGAGGTGTAATTGGACGAAATTAAAAAGGAAATTGGGTTGAATTATCTCAATTAAGAAGAGAATTGAAAGAAAACCAAAGAGATTGTCACTAAAATTGGAAAAATAGAAGAAGTAGGGACTAAAATTGATCTTTACCTAAAACCCTAATTAGTCTCTTATAAATTTTCCTCTTCTTCCTAATTTTGAAAGGAGGTGACTATTCACTTCCCCTAAACAAAACCTTAGCCACCAGTCGACACTCCTCCTTCCTACCAGCCATGATCGCTGGCCACCACTAGCCAAATCCCAATGTTGTTCATCACTCACCATTAAACAAACTTTACATGCTTCACTATCAAACCCATAGCTCCCTCTCAACCACCAGCTGACCGTCTCCTCTACAGGAGCTCAAGCCTACACAAAACCCTGCCACATTAGCCATCGTCCTCTCCTCTTGCTCAGCCACCCACAAAGCCACCCCAAAACACAGTCACCCACCATGTCACCCCAAAATACACTGTCAAAACCCAGTAGTAACCTCTCCTAAAAAACCAACAATAGCAATAAATTCATCCCCGATCTCCGCTCCAACCAATCATAACCTCCATCAACCATCACTGATTAACCTCCTTCAGTCAATACTGCCATCACTCATAAAAAAAACATCTCCACTGAAACCACAAACCCTACTACCACCACTATCATCATTTTTCCTCCTCCAATAAAAAACCAATTGCAACCAGTCAAACCTCCAAACCCACTGTCATAATAGAAAATGACCACAACACACCTCCTATCCAATGACCAATAATGCTGAACTCTAGCCCATGCCATTGATAGAACCCTATATAACCAACTCTAGTTCTGTCGAAGAAGAAGAAGAAATATAGAAGAGCTAAAATTTTGACGAGTTCGATCTTCTTTTCTAGCTAGTTGTGAGCTACGCTACCTATGAGACAAGGAAAAGGAGGTCGAGAGCTCTATGAAGGACTGCTTCACTTACTGGAATGTGATCAAAAGATTGATTGTCGACAGACGATAGTGGTGGCATGTGTGCTGCAGTACCAGGGTAAAATTAGGATTTCTAGAAAAACATAGGTTAATTCAATCATTTTTGGGACCATTTGGGATATATATATATATATTATTTTATTGGTAGTTTAAACTTGATAGTATGTATTAGTTAAATATTTTAATTATGATGTGATTGGGTATTGAGGTTTGTCATTGTGCATCGACCCTAAAGGGTCGGAGACTCTAGTGATGTTAAGGTGAAATAGAGGATGAGTTTGTGTTTTATTTCAAGAATTATTCAGGATAAGTGTCAATCTTGGCATGTTGTAAGTTAACTAACTAATTAAATTGTGTATGTTGGGATTGTTCGGAATGTTGGATATCTAATTTAATTAAGTTTTTTTTTTTTTTTTACTTAAATGCTTTTTTATGCTAGTTTGCCTTGAAAAAAATGATGAGTTAGGTTATATTATTTTTATTCATTTTGTGTAAATATTTTTGGTCAATTAGCTTGTTCCTTGATATATCAATCATGTTAGAGATTTAATTGGACTCGATATTAAATTAACAAGACTCTTAAGTTTTGGTGTCCGAAGTTAATTTAATATAATGCAAAAAATAAAATAAAAAATATTAATTTTGAAAATATTTTTCTCACACCCTTTCAAATAAAACACTTTTAGGTTGTTCTTAGACATACCAATCATGTCGGAACTTAAATTGAATTTGATGTTAAATTGATGAGACATCAAATTTGAAGCTTGATGTTAATTTAATATGATGTCCTAAACGAAAAAATAA